GGATCTAAATTATCCAAATATTTATTTTCATATTTCTCCTTGTTTTAGTTTTAGAAACACTGCCTCAGGGTTTCTACATAATTACAAATTTTTGTGAAAATAAACAGTAAATTCTGGCGAAGTCTTTTTCAGTTGATTCTATCTCATAATATTGCTGATATTCAATTTCAGAGGAGAGCATGTGAAATAATTAAAATGACAATTTTATGGGTTATTTGTAATATTTCCTATTTACATCTGCAAAACCAGGTCTTCATGAGACAAAAGTCAACAAACAAATTTGGCATGTATCACATTTGGGCCTGGTATTTTGTACCTGAGAAAAAATTAAATAATACAAACTTACCTCTTCAGATGCTGCCTTTTCAATAATAAACCAAAATTTATTCTGTAAGTGAATGATTCTAAAAAAGGCACCTTAATCTGTATATGATTAAGGATCATATTTCAAGGAATAGACGTTGAAAGGAACCTATAAGAGACTTGAAAAGTCACAAAAAATATTTGGTTTGTTTTAATTTAGGAAGTTTTTATCTCTTAGACTAAAAATATGGTGAGGGTGTGGTGGAGAGTGGCTTAATTTATCTTGATAGCCTAATTTCACATTAATTAAATACAGTTATTACATCTAGCATATTTCTGTTGGGGAATTTTTCCATAAACATCCGAAATTACCACTGTCTTAAAAAGTTTAAACATAGCTTTGGTATGCTTGTGTCTTTATGATACATTACCAAATTTTAAAATTTAAACTAGAGAAACATGAGTGCAAGCGATCAGTTCACTGTTTCAAGTAGCTTGTTTTAAGGGGCTGTTTTTATTTGTTAATACGTTTAAATAACTGAATTACTTTTAAGACATCCAATAACGTGGTTACCTAAATGAACTTTTTTCCCCTGCAACAATCACTGGGTCTTTGTAGAAATAGTGCTTATACATAATGTTTATTTTTCTTAAATAAAACTATTAAACTACACTATACAATTAAGGCCAACCATTAATAAAGAAATCACAGTAATGTGAACTGGTAGAAAACATAAAGTTACATTTTTTACATTTCTAATTCTAATATACTTAAATATCTCCTGTAGTATTTTAAATAATACTTTAAGAATAAAAGAATCTAAATGTGTAGAAATAGTGGTCATGGTTGCACAACATTGTGAATGTAATTAATGTCATTGAACTATACACTTTAATGATTAAAACTGCAAATTTTAGGTTATATATATTTCACTATATTTTTAAAAATAGAAAACATGTAGCCCGGCCGGGCGTGGCTCAGCAGTTGAGCGTCGACCTAGGATCAGGCGATCAGGGTTCGATTCTGGATCAGGGCACATGCCCGGGTTGTGGGCTCAATCAATGACTCTCTCTCATCATTGATGTTTCTGTCCCTCTCTCTTCCTCTCCTTTCCTCTCTCTGAAATCAATAAAGATATTAAAAAAAACCCAGAAAACGTAAAGAATTTTAAGAGTATTTTTAAGCATAAAGCAAAATATTTCTGTAGTAAGAAGTAGTATAGAATTTTTCAGTTTAAAAAGTAGTACCATGTGCATTATCAGTTTTCTTCCCATTTTTTTCGCCACCATATTTTGCTTCTGCCAATTAAATTTATGTTAAACATTCTACAGGGCAAATAGTTTTACTGACTCTACAGAAAATTAAAAGGTGTATAAGATGTCACAGTCCCCTTTACAGCAATGGATGATTTTTAAAAATTAAGATTTCTTTTTAAAATAGTTTCTTTGCTTTCCGTTCTACTTTCTACTTTAAAAAATCCATTTATTACTCCTTCTGAATCATGTGACTTTGAATCTACTATGCTTTAAAAGTTTTCTGGGAAATCTATTACTTTTAGATGTCAAGTCTAACAGCATTAAGTCATGAGGGCAGTGTTTACAACTTTCCAAATCATTTGACCAGGACATCTGTCTTTAGGGGGATCATTAAGCTGTATCCCTCTCCAGGGGAACAAAGTGGTACTTCAATCATTTTCATTTCTAAATCCTGAAATACTCAAAATAAAAAACTACATACAGAGGTATGTACTATGGTTTGATTTTGGTGTTATGCTTAAATAGCATTTCATTTCTTTTTCAGATTTTCCTATAGACTATTCAAAAATGGTTAAAGAAATAAATTTTAAGTAAGACTTTGATTAAGCAAAATGTGAGTCATTGTTGCATACATTTTAAAGTCATTAAAAATCTAAAACAAGAAAGTAGCAAGGTCCAGGTTACACAAGAGTAAGGTTTATGAGTTTGCCCGTGATCACACGACATCAACTCAGTGACATTTTGGTTTTGCCATTAGCCTCAGCATCTCAGACAAAGCCAATTCAAGTGATGGGGGCGGTGACATATGTCATGTTGGCTGGCATATGGGAATCGCTGAAATAATTCATATAGTTCCTTCACCAAAATTTCTTCCTCATATAATTATTGAAGGGATTAATTTTTTTAAAAGTATTTAAAAGGATTAGAACATAGAGCAAGTTTTAACAGATGTCTTGGGACTTGTTACCAGAAAGAGCATAATATTTGGGAATTGATAAGAGTAAAGACATTACTTAAGTGCCTTGATCTTAAATTACATGATTAAGATGTTTCAGATAATTAGAAGCAAATCAAAGATTTAAGCTACATTTATCAGTTTTAAAATATGTCATCTTCCAGAGTGATCACGATAGTCCAATATTTTCAGTTTCTGGGTTTTTATTTTAGATTTAAATTTTGAGTATATTTATTTTGTTATAATTACATAAATTTCATAGCATGTTTTCTCAAACCATAAGTATAATTTTAATACATCCAAGTGAATTAAAATTCTTTCTCATAGAAACATAAATAAAATTTTAGAATGGAAGTAAGAATATTAGAGTCTATATGCCAAAAAAAATTACCTTACAGATGAATTCATAAACCATAGCTATTCTATATATACTTTTAATTGAACAATCTAAAATTATCAGTATTTCCATAAAGGCATCCACTATTCTAATCAAATTCTCTCTTCTTAAACTATATTTTTCCATAAGCTGATTTTTTTTAATATAAATCTTTCTAAAAAAATCATGTGTTTTTTTTAAAAAACAGTCAAGTCCTAAAAGTACCAGATGCATTAGGAGTAAATTGGGCCAAATTCTTCAATATCATGTCCCACACAGGTACCTCATGGAAACTTAGCTTTTAGGCAATTCTTATCGCAATTGCTCAATATGTCCATTTGTCTTCCTTAGCTTCCTTCTAGTATTTTTACCCAATTTCCATTTTTTTTATACCTCTATTTTCCCCCTTTCTCATATTATTCTGCAGCTGGAAAACAGCTCACACTCACTTCTTATTTTTAAGTTTCAGGTTTTCTCTTAAGATGTCAAGTAAGAAACATTCAAATGGTCTTCTCCTCTGTAATGTTTTGTCATTATAAGCTCTGAAAATGCTACCTTATAAAGTGGCTCATTTTAGAAACTCCTATGATCTAGCCAAATGCTCTAATATTGGGTAATAGGTTTCTTTCTTTGTCATATAAAGATGTTGACTCATATTTCAGAATTGTTTTTAGTAACAGAGATATTCTATATATTATTCATACCTAATAAAAGTCAGCTGCAGATATTAAGATTGCATAGTAACAACTCAAACTAGCACCAAAAGTAATTTTTTTTTTAAAAAATATCTGGCTTGGACAACAGAATTAACTGTGCTACTACTCTGTAATTATCATACTCTCCCACCCCTTATTACATTTACATGAAGGGGAATTAAATAATTTAAAAGCTTGATGTGATTACCAGATATTTTGACAGAACAGGTGAATTTTAATATAGAAGGCTTTCAGTACCATTTATGCAGAGTAAAGTGAGACTATCTCAATAGTGAACAAAAATGTTCTTCAATCATTTTTAATCATAGCTCATTCAATAGAACATATGCGTCCATTGGTAAGTCAACCAGTATTTTTACTACACAGTGTATTCATTTGTGTGGTCAGCTGATTAACAGCAAACCCCTTTACCCCCATATCCATGACCTGATCACGGGAACCTGTGTCTGATAATCTCTCTGGCAAAAGGGACTTTGAAAATGTGATTAACTTAAAGAGACTGAGATGGGGAGATCACCTGGGGTTATCTGTGTGGACCCTAAATGTAATCACAAGTGTCCGTATAAGAGGGCGGCAGAGTAAGAGTTTGTCTGCAGCAGAGGAGAAAGGGATGTGGCCACTGAAGTAGGGATTGAAGTGATGGAACCAGAAGCCAGGAGCCAGGAGCCAGGAGCCAGGGACGTCAGCAGCCTCTAAAAGTGGAAGATGCTAGGACAGGGTTTGCCCCTGGAGCCTCCAAAAGAAACAACCTCAGCAGACACCTTGATTTTAGCCCCTTTAGACTCATTTTGGACTTTTGATGTCCAAAACAATAATAGGATAAGTTTGTGTTGCTTTAAGCTAATGAACTTGTGGTAATTTGTTACAGCATTTACAGGAAATTAATACAGGCATACCTCAGAGTTATTGCAGGTTCCATTTCAGACCACCGAAATTAAGCCAGTATCTCAATAAAGCCAGGCAAAATCTTTTTGCTGGTGGAGGGTCTTGCCTTCAGTTTGCAAACAACACAATACCTGTGAAGTACAATAAAGTGAAATGCAATAAAACAAGGTATGCCTGCAAGGTCTGTAAAAAGGTTTAATTAAATGACCTTCAAGATTCTCTCTGATTTGAGAAAACTGTTCTGCACTATCAGCCTTGTGGGGTTTTATTTTTAAGCTTTTTCAATAGGCATAACTTAAGGAAAATTATTTTTCATTAGTTATTTGGGATGTAATGTTCTTTGTTGTAATTAGTCTGTTGGGTATTAGCATGTCATCAACAAGAGGCAGCAAACACTAGCAGAGATATTTGTTTTAGTTACTCTTACTAAGATGAAGGAAAATGTTATATTATTAACTGATTTTTATGTTTGAGTAGCCAATTCAGTTAGAAATTCAGAACACAAAAATCTTGCCGAAATCAGCTGCCAGATTTATTAATCTATCTGAAAATAAAAACACAATTAAACAAAAAGGAGAATAAAAACAGAACTTAAAAAACTTTAGATACATTTCCCAAGTTTATAATGCAATGCTTTAAACCCTTCTGTATTTGAAATATCCTTAATGTTGGCCAATTACTTATTTCATTCAGTGAGTCACTACCTTAAACAGCAAAATATATAGTTTGTCCTTAAATATTATATAATTAAAACCGATTCTTCCTTTAATTCCTTAAGATAACTAGAGCCCAATTTCCCCCTGGCAAATGATAGAATTGTAAAAAGAAAAAGAGAAAATAAAAAGAAACAGAATCCTCAATACAATTTTCATTTAGCTCAAATTTTAAAGACCCACTTTCAATTTCTCCAAATATGTCAATTATCTTTCCAATAGCACTTTAGCTGAATATTTTTAAAATCTGTTTTTATTAAATGGCCACATGAGCATAGTGACGGGGGCAGTTTCTGATTTTTAAGGCATACTTATTAGCCCACTATGGGCCTAATGATATAGAATGTATGTGTAGAACAATCATTGAAATCACAGGTTATATACACAGGTTGTAATTAGAATTTTTTGTAGGATTAAATGTAAATAATATCAATTATGATATGTGAGTTTGCCAATAACTGTTCCATTTAGAGATGTGTGGGAAATGGGTAGCCAGGAGATTATCTTTAACTATTTTTCCTGTGCTTGGTGAAATACTTTCAGAGGTTGATTTCAGATTTGTGTTTAGGATTTTTTTTTTTAAACACTTTGATATAAACTCTTTAAAAAATGTTGTTCCTCTGGGTTACGGATGGATTGAACAAAACTTATGTTTTTTGCTTGAATTGTTTAGCAAGCTATTCAGAGACACTATAAAACCATTTACTTATGGTTTTGTCAAGGTGAATGACACAACTATTCTGCGTTCCAGATTTTCTCCAAATGCAAAACAAAAACAAAACAAAAACCTTTGAAACTTTAAATCTTTAAATCTTCTTTCAAACAATCCAATCATCACATTTACACGAGTGTCCAAAACAAGAGGAGGGACAGATAGTAATCAGTGCCAGCACTATGTCATACAGCAACTTCCTCAGATACGTTGACAATTTGTAAGTCATTTTCCATTTCACCCAAAATTACAAAAGTTTCCACAGTTTCCCTTAGCAAGCTGAAGCTTACTCTTCATTTGTCAATGTGCATAAAAGCTGCTTATAGCATAGCATGGCGTAAGCTATTTTTTAAGCAATAAATGGTTTGAGTCATCTATTTTGTCCTGAAATGCTATCTGTAGTTAACTGCATTGCTTATAAATGGTCATAGTAAATTCAGCATGAAAGAGAATATTACAGAAAAGACAGCAGCAGAAGCATTAGCATTATCTAATATTTATATATGTTATCAACATAACACAGCAGTAAAAGGTTTAAATGCATATCAATGGGTACCGTCTCTAAAAATTACTATAGTACCTATTTAGTGTACTGGATATTTTCCTTAAGGAGTGCTTGCTGTATCTAGAACAGCATTAATATGTGATTTAGTACAGTTAATTCTTACTGATTAAATAATGTTTTTTATGTACTAAAAGAAGTGAAAAGACAGATAATTTTTGCTTCACTGTGATCTCAGATTGAACATCTAAATGAAAATCTCGAGGACCATGATGGATCATTATTTAACTGAAATGGGCTTCAAAAATATTGAAATGACAGTATGATTTGTGTCTAACTAGCAAGGTGGCACCAGATACATGTAACGCTACTGGCCTGTGACTCAGTGTGGAGCCAGAGTCCAAAATTGTGCCCCTCATTTACAGTCATGGTGATCGCTCACCTGCGGAGAGAATTACCCATATTATGGCTATCCTCTGTGAGTTCTATAAAAGCAAAACAAAACAAAAAACAGCAAATGCAATCTCTAAATACCTTTCTACAAGAGGTGCAAAAACAGTCATTTCTAACACTTAAACTGCCATTTACAGTAGATTTTTTGTACACCTTGCAGACTCAGAAATGATAGGGGGAGATGCCCAAGGCAAATGGTCTCCAAGTGGATATTTACACAATGTGAATTAACTGTATCATAGACACCCGGAGAAAATGAACATTTTCTTATGCTGTTATGAAATCAAATGAACATGATATAGCTTCGTCATACTTAAAACCTGTAGGACCCCATCCCAAGCCTAAGTAAAAAGTAATCCCCCGCTCCCCCCCCACCCATTCACCCTTTATCTTCCTGTTACACAGAACAAGTGTTTAGATTACTCCCACCCACCCACAAATAAAGTGCGCAGTCCAGGGCAGACCATAGAATAATGCAACAGGAAAAGCCCCTTTTTTGTATTATTATTTAAAAATAAAATACAAACAACAGAACTCAAACAAAGATCGAAGAGAATTCAGAGATTCTCTGCATGTTCCAAAAAGAGGGACAGCGCGAGGAGGCCCTGCGGGACTGTCGCGCGTGTTAGTACACGTAGCCTTCGCTGTAGGCGTGGGGGTTGCAGCAGCCCCCTTCGGGCATGTAGGCCATGCTCTCGTCGAAGTGGGACAGGGGCACGGTGTCCTCTTCGTTGATGTGACGCTCCATGTCCGTCTTCAGCAGCGGGCGCTGGTTATCCGGGAAGGCCATGGAGAAGAGGGCTTCTGGGTCACACACGAATTTGTAGACGTATCTCTCGCCGGCCACCTGACGGAAACACAGAGGAGAAACACGCCTCCTTAGGCACGGGGCAGCGGAGAGCAACCAGATTTATTGTGGTGACTGCTGCACAACACCTACAAATATTGCATCATTACAAGGTTGTAGGCCTGAAACTAACACAATGCTTTATGTCCATTATACCCCAAGAAACACCCCCACACGCCCACCCTTCCTTATCCCAGATGGGGGACGGGGAACAAAAACACGGTTTAATACGTCAGGAAGGATCGAGGGCCAACGAAAAAGCCACCGAGCACCAGTAGAGACACATCAAAGGGAAAAAAAGCGTTTCACTTTGTGGAATAAATTACGGTCAATCAAGAAAAATGCGAAATACTGACCCTGGATAATACTGACACGCATTCCAGAAAGAGCTAGAAAGCTGAGTACTCTGCTTGTTTTAATATAAAGGTGAACTTAAGTTGTTATTTGGAGGGGGGGGGGATCAATGATTTCGTGCAGGCGTCTCACAACGACGTCTTTTTCTGTTTTAAAACGTGGCATCTCTGCTGTAACCTAACCAGGCCTCCAAGGTGCAGGGTCTCCCTCTTGCTACTGCATTTGTGAGACTAGAGAAGGTGAACTTCCAAACCTTCAAAGGAAAACGCGCTGCGTTCCCAATAAGACCAGACTAGCGATTCACTGATTTACAGGGTGAGCCAGTTTTTGTGTTTTGTGTTCCCTGGGGCCGTATTCTCATGCAAAAAGAAAAAAAAGATACATAGCCTTATTTAAATGAAAGATGGGTCAGGAGCACGGCATTACCCTGGGTGCATCACTTTTAAAAATGAAGGCGAGATGCATGAGACAGGAGTTAAGGATGTGTGCCGAGTGTCAGAGTGAAGCAAGAGGTGCAAAAAAGCGACGGGAATTTAAAATCCGCAGTGCATAAGGAGGAAATGAGAACAAGAAATGTGACAGCTGCCTGAAACAGAGGAGCAGCGTAGTTTGTAGGGAATGACATGTCCCAAACTTAAATTCTGAAGAGTGATGCTTCTCTGGGAAACAACCGTGCGAAACAAATACGCTCCCCCACCCCCCATCACCATTAATAAAGGGAACGCCGGAGCACTCAAAGCCGGGTGCTGGGCAGTGTGGGGATCGATACAGTGCTTCATATTAACTTTGGTAGTAACTTTCTGTGGGTATCTAGAGTTCGGTAATTTCAGAAAGGTGAAAAAGAATCACCTCTGGGTTCCTATGCACCAGAAAGGCACTGCTAGTTGCTTTGTGATGTGGGGGAACGGTGAGTTCATGGTTTATGAACTAGCTGTATATGTTTGGAAAGGAAAAAACAACTATCACAGAGAAATGCTGTTCTGTACTCAGATTTAGAGTATTTATTGCCCTGGATTTTCTACCTCAGAGGAAACAATTTAGAGAATTCTAATAATCTGAATAGTCTTGAAAATGGTGAATACTCAAGTTGTATGAATTTGGGTATATATATATGTATGTATAGATTTTAAAACACATCTTTATTGATTTCAGAGACAGGAAGGGAGAGGGAGAGAGACAAACATCAGTGAAGGGCTGCATATATTTCTTAAACCGCCCTCAGGTCCCCCTTTTGGGTGTGAAACGGAGAAAGCCTGTTGTAAGGCTGAGATGGAAGTCTCTGGTCCACTGACTGTATGGCTAACCGAGGAGGCGGGCATAAACTTATTCACTTTAGTCGTCTATAAAAAGGAAATTAAGTTCAGAAAGGTGAGATGGTGAAATTACCATAAAAATTAAAAAAGGCGATATCAGAAACAAAGCTAGGACACTAAGTCCCAGTTTTCCTTTTTTCTTTGTTCAAAGCATTTTGAGCAAAAAAATTAAATCGCTTGCATATCTCAGAGCATTTAATAACCTTTTTTCTATTTGGGGCTGTGGAGAAAAGGGTATTTGCTTTTGGCTACTAGAGCTTTATTGCCCAACCTGTTGCTACTGGTTATAATTAGAAATGATTTGATAAATCAATGTGGGGAATGAATTAAAGTGTATAACATGCAATCAAGATTATAAAATCTATTAAGGACTTTGCCTTGACTCACTGCTCCTTCTAGGTTTCTTTCAAATAAACATTTTTAGGGCTATTACTATATTTATTAGGCTATATTAAATGCTGCAGAATTTACAACAAGGGCTGATAACCAATGCAGGGAAATTACATCTTCCATTATTAGTAATACAATTACAATATGGAAATTGCTATGTATTAAATATACGCAAATTGCAATGCTGAGGTAGATAAAACATGACTTTTGCAGGAGAGATGAATCAGAATTAAACAGGAGGTATCTTTTGAACTGCACTTTGAAATACTAGATATTTAAATTTGTGTTAAATTTCAAAATTTCAGAACACAGGCATGCTGAAGGAAAATTAAAAATTACAGATTAAGCCTAAAGAAATAACTATAATTATATCACCCAGAAATAACCACTGTTTAAACACTTGTATATGCTTTTCTAGGCATTTCTAAATTTTGAAATAGAAGTATACACATATACTCTCTATAGGGTATAATAAATATTTCTCCACTGTGTCTTCTTTCTTTCACAGCTACTGAAGTAATTAGTATTTTTTACATGTTTACATCCACTTGGTTATTTTTTAAATTTTCTAATCTTTCCTTTTATATATACCACATACACATATAGTTTTAAATTTTAACAAGTTTGGTTTTATAGATATTTTCCTACAGTTTGAAATATATAATTCTAGATCATAATTTTTTTAAAAGGACAGCATAATTTCCCTCTGAATGACTATACCAGAATTTACTTAACCATTAGAATGGTACTTATGTTAACAGGTAAAGATAAGAAGGTGAGACAGCCTGGCTGGGCGTGGCTCAGCGGTTGAGCGTCGACCTGGGATCCAGGCGATTGGGGTTCGATTCCCGGTCAGGGCACATGCCCGGGTTGCGGGCTCGATCAATGACTTTCTCATCATTGATGTTTCTATCTCTCTCCCTACCTCTCCTTTCCTCTCTCTGAAATCAATAAAGATATAGTAAAAAAAAAAAGAAGTTAATTTAAAAAAAAAAAAAGGTGAGACAATCTAGAACGTGGGAACAAGTGAAGCAGTGAGGGGGTCACAGGTGTGAGAGGAGTGTATGGCTCAACACGTGCGAGGAAAAGTAAACTCATGTCCATAGAACTGTAAAAAGTTTCAATTATGCTGTTACAAGTAGTCTTTAACTTCTGCATGTTTCATTAAATGACCTCTTTCTTATATTATAGTGATACCCCAAAAGAGCTGTCATATTCAGCATCTTGCTATCCTGTATTAGCTGATGAATATATAGCTGCTAATAGTTTCTTCTGGCAACTATGGCATAAAAGGGGGAAAATGTGAGGAGCAACAACATTTTTAGCTATATTTCAACATCTTTGCTATTACTTGATTACTTGATATCAACTTGCCTTATTAATTAATTAAAATGACAGGTAAACAAATGGGATATGACATAACTGGATAAATAAATACAAACATGGAAGTGGTGATAATGCTAATAAGAAGTGTAAGTCTGAACACCTTTGAGAATATTTAAGACCAGGCATGACAGCCTGTCAAATACTGTGTCAAAAAGCTGAGGTGCGATTACCGATCTTACAATACGTTTTGGCTCTCTGTGAATGCTCCCCTGAGTAAGTGATATAGGGGTCAAAACGCAAAAGCCAAATAGGCCTTGGCTTATACTGGCTTCCAGGTCTGAGATGCATGAAGAGCTACCATTTGTTGAAAACTTCCACTGTGCCAGGCACAATGCAAGTCTCTCAAATCATTAACTTTCATTTAAAAACTGCACCAAGTTGATGGGGTAAGAATACACCATGTAGTAGGAGAAGCTAGTTATCTGCTCAAAAAGGGCGATCCAATGAGAAGCCAGCGTGCAAACCTAGGTCATGATTGCACTTTTTTTATTGCTGAGCAGCACTGCCCAGAGGAACTGCTGAGCACCGACTGTGCAGCCCACTCCCTGTGCAGGACTTGGGAAGATGGTGATGAAAATGAAAGGAATGGGCTGTATCGAAAAGAATCTGGCTGCAAATGGCAGTGGCGAATGAAAGGGAGGAATTAAAAATGACCCCAGCGTTGTGATGGAGAAGACAGAAATCGTTATGCATTTTGAAGGTGAGATTCGGGGACAAAGGAAGCAACTGAGAATCTAATTCAGCCTTATTTTTTAAGGATCTTGTAAGTTTTAACTTCTAAGCTGGCAAACTCTGGAGCCCTGATTTCCTTTGGTCCAGGAAACTCAATGATGCTGCTCCCCTCTGTTCTAGTAAGCTTCATGTAGCAACTGGTCTAGTTTTTCTTGGCATAACTATGGTGACATAAACATATGCCACAATCTGTAATATATAACCATGTTCATGACCTCCCAAAGGATGCGTAATAAAACTGCAATGTTCACAATGGATTAACTGTAAACTTAGTTCAGTCAAGACAATAACTGAATACACATGCGAGGCTGCAAATATCCAAATATTTTATCTGTATCATATATGCATTTCCTTCTTCAAAACTCTTCCATTATGCTCTAAATGCAATTCGTTTTCTCTCTCTTTTTTTTTTTTTTTAAAAAAAGCTACTTTCAAATNAGCTTCATGTAGCAACTGGTCTAGTTTTTCTTGGCATAACTATGGTGACATAAACATATGCCACAATCTGTAATATATAACCATGTTCATGACCTCCCAAAGGATGCGTAATAAAACTGCAATGTTCACAATGGATTAACTGTAAACTTAGTTCAGTCAAGACAATAACTGAATACACATGCGAGGCTGCAAATATCCAAATATTTTATCTGTATCATATATTCATTTCCTTCTTCAAAACTCTTCCATTATGCTCTAAATGCAATTCATTTGTTTTCTCTCTTTTTTTTTTTTTTAAAAAAAGCTACTTTCAAATGCTAAAGGAAGCTCATTTGAAAGAAAATAAAATATATAAAACTTTATTCTATCAATACAATAAGATCAAATACTTATTTTTAATAAATGGTTTAGGGTGTTAAGCTGACTGGTATTGAAGGCAGGCAAGATTACAGGCAAGAAAAAAAATGTTCTTCAGGATGAGAACAAGAAATATCCTGAATGCTTTAAGAATCAGAATAAGCAATAAAAGTAAGGATTTGGTTAATATTAGAATCTAAACGCAAGAGCATTTCAAAATTATATAATTCTTGAGAATGCAATTGAATATCAACAACTTCTTGGGATGGATACATGCAATATTAGTACGAAAACAACCTTTTTGTTAACCAAACACAGCAAAAGAGGAACTTCCTGAAAGTCTACTACTTTCTATCTGATATTATTACACATTTGTCTAGGATGCCCATAAATTTATACACAGAAAGGCTTTCTAACAGCAAACCCAAAAACTAAGCATAGGTTAAAGTGAGTGAAAACCCTGCTTCAGCAATGCAATAATCATGGCTTTTAAAGTATGGCATGCAGATTTACGTGCAACATTTCAGGGAATCACAGTGCTGTATTAGCGGCTCACCTTCTGCATGATACCTTTCTCATAATAATAGCGGAGTGAACGGCTAAGTTTATCATAGTTCATGGCGGGCCTGTTTTTCTGAATGCCCCAACGCCGGGCCACCTGCCACCAAAACAGAATCACATTGTAGTGTTACATATGAACTTATCAAAATATTTCATTAAAAAATAGCTAATTCATGAATTACTTCCAACCCCTCCAAAACATATCCAAAGGAAAGAGGCAAAAGCCATCGCAATCTGCCATTTCCTGTGTCCTGGTTTGCTTTTTAAACCGGGCATGCAGTGATCATTCTGAAACATCACAATAGAATTCTTTGTCACCATTGTTTTGGATACAAAATGAAATGGAAATATGGGAATGTGTTTACAACGGGAATGAACAGACTGCAATTCACCAAAATGAGGCAAGTTTCCCATTCTGAGAGACACTGTGGTTTTTTTTCCTTCTTAGTTTACAGATAAAAACTATAGATTAAGAGCAGCTTAGTGATTTCTTTGTAAAAGGTGTTTTTTGAGGTTATGATACACCAAGGAAAAAAGATATCCTACTTGGTACTAAAAAAAAAAAGTGAACAAGTGGCTCTGTGTATGTAGCGGAGGAAACAGTATACAAATTAATAATCTGGACTGCAAATAATTTTTATTGCCCGAAGCGGCATCAGAATAAAATTGTAGCCAATACTAAACTGGGGAATTAAACATTCATTTAGAGAACAGTAATTGGATGCTAAAAATAAGCAGGAAGTGGAAAGGTCACCATGTATATGAGTCCACAAACAGAAGTCTCTAAAGCAGAATGTCCACTTTGTTGTTCAGGGAAAAATCATCAGAGCTCTTTATAACCTGGCTTTGGAGAAGCAATTTCTCCGGCAGAGACAGAGTCTTCAATGGAGCTTTAAGAAAACCCCTTCCTCGATGTTTTCGTATCCCACAAGGCTCCGCCACCCTGGGCTGGCTAAAGCATTATACAGAACAGTGTCGCTAGAGTCAAGCTCTCATTAATTTCCACTTTTTATTAGTCTGAGCAGAAACTGCAGCTGCCACTCATACCTAGCCAACCCCAAGGGAGCATTATGTAATGGGGTCAGTGTTTTCTTTCGTGTCCATGAAATTCCAAGTTGCTGCTATGTCACATACACTAAAATACAATACTTCCTAGAGAGATCGGTCTGTCTCTGCACTTTACTAACATTAACTGTTCTCCAGGGTTTGTTTGTTTTCCTTTTTAAAATACTGATCCTTGCCATTTTTTCTCTCACTAACTCGTATTCCCTGAAGGAAGACACGATGTAATCTAGTCGCCTGCATCAGGATACTTTTTTAAGGGCACAGAAATGTGGTGTAACAAGGACAGGACTCTATATCCAGACAGTCACAGTGGCAGGTACATCTTAATTTTCCAAACAGAAACTTCATTTCAATGGAAATGTTCTGAGCAGTAGTGAAACAGGAAGGTGGTAAGAAATGAAAGCAATACTTCCTAAATAAAATGTTTTCTAAGGACCTAACAACAGACATCAGTAAATCTTTAATAGGCAAGGCATGGGAACCTGGGGGGATGTGAAAATGAAGTACTAGTATCTCCTTAAATTAAACTACAATTTCTGGATACTTATTCATATATAAATGAGTTCTTTCTAGAAACTCACCAGAATGCACCTAGAAAGTAAAATATTTGCAACCAACTTTAAGACAATATTGTGGAAGTCTCTGGGAAAAGATGATTTTTAAAAATACTACAATCAGAGTTTAACTTTTAGAATACCAGTTAAGTCTCAGCACTGTGGGTACTAGTAAACATTTTAAAACAATAAAATATATTTTTAGAGCTGTTTCAGTGTCACATTCATCATAAAGTTGAGGGAAATGGGACATACCAATATTTCTATGAGATACAGACAAGTTATGCAAGATGAACAAGTTCTAGAAATCTGCTGTACAACACAGTGCCTATAGTTAACAATACTCTGCTGTACATGTAAAAACTGAATATGAGGGTAGATCCCATGTTACAGTGTTCTTACCACATTAAATCATTCCCAGGATAGGTTAGACAACCCATCAACTAAGAAAGTCCATTCAGCCTTGACAGCTGAGCCACCCAACACCACTAAAAGCCAAGGCACTGTTTCCAGCATGGAGTGGGAGCAGTAACTGCAGTGCTTTCCCTATAAAACTTCGTCAAATGAAAACTCTGGCTGTTAATGAGGAGAGTGAAAAGATGATGGCAGTAGAGCATTTATTCTATTGTCAACTGAAATAAATCAAAAATGTAATAGTTCCAGTATTATTCAATTTATTTTTAAAAATCATACTTGAATATGCAACATTAAGGAATGGAAACCACCATTAGGGCATGGCTCTCAGACTTCTCAGTGACTCTTCCACCTCAACAAGTTTGAGTATCATCAAAAACTTCTCTGAGTCCTACAGATGCTTTACTACGTTCGGGTCCATGATTAATTCAAAAACAGTATTTCATGATCTGAAATATCCCAAAAGGGGAGATGGTAAGGATTATGTGCTTGCTAGAGTTTTCCAAACACACTGAGCAGATAACCAGCGCAGGTCTGTAGTCTCATTCATTCATTTTAAACTGCAAGAAGAAATATAAAGAAATGGAACCCCTGACTAATTCCAAAAGGGATGGCTTCACAGCTACCTTTCATGAGTGTGCTGACAGGCTCCCCAAGATCTGCTGTGAAACAGAGGGAAAAGGGTGATCGCAAGCCACACAGGCTGAAGAAATTTCTTCACAAACACTTTCCAAAGAAGAAATTTAAACATAAACAGTAAAGTCTGGGTGTGTTGGAAGCAATTGCAACAGTGAACAATGCAGCCATCAGAAATGGATTGTTTCGTTTTGAACAAAGGCCTTAGGACACATTTAGAGCTTATTGCACAATGGCCACTCGGTTGGAAATGGTCTACTGACTCTGAATTACCAACCTTTTAACTTTATGAGTCAGCTACAGACACAAGGTCTAAATGTTGGTTTGCTGTAAGGAACAGATGTAATTGTATTTCTTCCTTGCGTTTAAGAAAACACACAGAAATTCAGAATTGGATGGAACTTAATAGTTGTCTGATCAAGTCTCTGACTTAACTTAAACCTGATCATCATAAAAGTCAACAGCTGCTATATAAAGAATCTAATCACTTGCATAAGAATTTTTACTCCACTGAATGGATCAATAATTACTGACAAAATTCAACAATGTTCCCTAAATTAACAAATACATAGAAAAAAATGTAATAATCTGTTTCTGTTCAACTTTATTTTAATCACAGGTAGAGGGAAATAACTTTGATATAAATTCCCTTTGAATGTACTCAGTTGTAACATGAACAAACCCTTACAATGAGTATTAACATCTTTCGTGAGGCAAAGAGCACATGTTCCCATCATGTTAAAGGGCCTTCAGGTTATGTTAAGTGTTCCCAGTCTCAGTTAGTTGGTGTTTCACATTTTTACAGTTCTTACGCTTAAACCATTTAAGTATATCTTCATAAAAACTAATTTCCTTTGACAAATTATGCTTTAGACACACTACAAAATTCAAACACCTAAACATTTCGCCCATACTAGATAATGGATACTTTTAAATTCTGATATTGAGCCCTCTGTCTGTGTGTGCTTGGTGTGAGCAAGGAAAATGTTGCTAACCCTCCAGTGTCACCAGTTATGACCCGGAGGAGACTTAGTTGTGCCAACCAGCTCCTCTGTTTCATACTTCTCTTAATACATATTTGAATCAGATAAACTCCTAAATCTTAATATGTGAACTTGTCTTCTGGCTATCAAATTAGAGCCTATTACCTTATTATGAATGAATACATGGTATCATAGGGCAGAAAATTTAAGATATATAGGGCCATTAGTCTAGTTTGTAGATGCCCAGTCTACATGAAACTAATCACTTGAGGTTCAACATCAGCTGGACATCTTACTGAATTTTTCGACCTTTCTGATGTGTTTAGGAGCTATAGTCAATAGGATCAGTCATAGGCAGGTATGTTAGTTACAAGTCTTCCATTGCTTTCTTGGCACTGTAAACCAAAGTCCATTTAAATGGTAGCAGAGAAAGCACCTTTAATAAGACACAAACATTTCATAGAATAATCACCTTTCTATATTGGGTCTGAAATGCTATTGCTGGGTTATGCTGTGGTAACAACAGTAGCCTTAAGCCTAAAGCTAGTCCTAGAAAAAAAAACTGAGAAGTTGTTCAGGAAAATACTCCACTTGTATGGGGGTGGGGGACTTAAAGGGGGAAGAGATAGGTGAACAGTTAGTTGAATGTGTATCCATATTATCTCTATCCAGAGTCCTCTCATTTTGTTAATTTCTTAGGAGTTTTAAACTTCATCCCTACCTTCCAATGGAATGTGCAGGGTTCAGCTGACTTGAAACAAATGTCACCAACTATCAAAGGGAAACAATGTTCCTACCAGGCCTGTGTTTCCTAAGAGACACTTCAGGAGTGAAAATTTCCCAGTGGCCCCTGCCTACATCTCCCACAGCTGTTTTCCCCCCACCCCCTATTGCAGAGACTTTGGTCACTATCACTCTCCTACACCCTTAACAAAATCAAGATTCTCCAAATAATAACTGTCAATTTGCAAGAACAATTCCTCCAAACCCAAAACTAGATGAATGTCACAGATATCCCCTAAAGACCATCCAACACCTTAAACTTAGATGCTCCTCTACAGATGTCCCAAGCCCTGCATTCTCTAATAAAGGCTTATGTTGATGGTGTTTTGTTTGATTTTCTTCAACAACAATTCCGTAGGATGGTATTCAACTGGAACAAGCATGCAACATATTCATTTTATTTTAATGAATAAAATGCATGCTCCCCCTCACACACACTTTCTAATTTGGAAGGTTTTCCTAAAGTTAAAAAAATTTTAAAGCCACATATTTGGCATATTAATCATGTATGTTTCTTTATATTATAACATATCTGACTTTCCTAACGAAAATCTACTAAACCCACCTCTTCAGGCTCAATCAGTTTAAATTCCATGCCTCGCCCAGTCCAGGCAATGAAATGAGAATTTGAGGGGTCGTCGAGAAGAGCCACCAAAAACTGCCAGAGCTGAAGTGATCCCCGCCGCTGGTACGTGGGTCCTTCCCGATACATTCCTGGCTCTTGTTTGATGTCCCCTAAATTAAAAAAAAATTTAAGTTTCTATTATTAGCAATATAACATCTTCAAAAATTTACATTAAACCAGTGTTAAATGGTTAAACTACAAACACTTTATGGGTTTCTATGAAATATGTTGCCATTTAATAGAGATTTAAAATACTTAGGGGGTTGACTAGAAACCAGAAATCTGTCTAAACTAACAGACAACTGTACATAACATATAAGGGTCAAAATAAATGCATGTATGTGCAGAATAAATCCACAGATGTCATTAACTTGTTAAAATTTTGTATTGCTATTTTTTCATTGATTTCTTTAACCATCATAGCATCAAATCACACTTCTTTGCTTTTATTGTTAATGTCATTACTCACTGCTCTCAACAACACTAAAGACAGAGGAATCAATTTTAAGCTTTGAGCTTTTTATTTGTAGAAATTAAATTCTGCAAACTACAATTTGTAAATATCTCTTTGACCTTCACATGACAAACTTGACTATTTTAATGCAAACATGTCAAAGCAAATTTAATAACATCTTAAACTCTGAGTTAAGTAATCTGAGTTAAGTAATTTTCCTAATAAATTAGGAACATCTCAGGGGCAATTCCGGGCATGCTGGTTATCATCAATACCATCTTTCCTCCACACCTTCATATGGGCATTACCAATTTTTCAACTGGCAGCAAATGGAAATTCTCATTTTTCTTTATTTCTTGGTTTCACTCGCTTAAATTTAGCTTGCTACTCTGTTTTTAAAAGTCCAATTTTAAAATGTATACACCAGAGCTTTCAGTGAATTTATATCTTTAAGCAAGAAAGGTGTGTTACTTTTATTCGGTATTCATACATAGTGTAATAATCAATGAAGCAGATTACAGCAATAAAGATGTTACTGTTGACATTCTTTAGGCATAAATCTGGTTGGTTATCTCGGCTTTACCAAAAAAAAAACACAAAACAACAAACAAAAAACTCAGTTCATGACTACTGATTATTTACTTGTATCTCCAGCCAACGGTCTTTAACAGAGGTGGAATCAGTCCCATTGGGGATTGAATGTCTAGCACCCCACGAGCATATCATTGTTAATGCATGAATTTCTCTTCACTAAAGAAACAATTCAGACAATACATTCGAGCTGATCGACTCACACTAAGTGTGAATTATAAAACAGACCAAATCATAAGCTTTTAAAAAATCTTTCCTTTGGTCAGTAAACAGAGATACACTCCTCTTAAAATAATTACAGAAAGAACAGCACTTTAAAAACTGAAACTGAAGTACAATTATCATCAGTAGCTGCTAAAAATCGTTATGTTGTTTTGGTCTCAGCTAGGTAATACAGAAGTGTCTCTCCATATTGATTTGATGACAGTTTTATCTTTTTTATCCTTCTGAGATTTGCAAATTTTTCATGGGGGCAAATGAGCAATTATGCAGAGTGAAACACTGTCAAGTTTTATAATCTCTAGATTGCTTCTGCTTGTAAATGTGACTGACTTACTTGGCCTTTATAGCGAAAAAAATTACCTTTTGTTATTCTTTCTTCTTGTTCCCTATTCCCTATAAAATGTAAGAATCATACTATCTTCCAAAAAATGTTGTCTTAGTATAAAATTGAGGCATATTTACAAGTCAAGACACTTAGCTGTCCTGAACATGAGTATGACACTGGCCTGTTAGATTATATCATAATCCTGTCTATGGTTGTGAGCTTTTTTCTTCCCTACATGCCCATACTGACTACCAAGATTTCTTAAAATGTTAAGCTCACTAATACTGAACAGAACTATAAAGGTCATTCCAAGAAGTAAAGGCTCGATGCTTTGTCTCAAGAGAAAAGGCTGTATTTTAAGAATTGTGATGCTCTACTAATGGTTAAAAATAACACGGATCATGCCTCTGAGACTCAAAGCTTAAAATTGACATCTATTGTAGAATAGAGCCAAAACAGTGACCCCTATTAGAGCTTTCACCCTGTGACCTTGAATGAATTTGGCAATTTAAAGGAAGGCAAAGGAAACCGATCTTCCCAAGACTTAGCATCCTTCTGAGAAGTGCAATAGCAGAAACCTTGAGAACAGAGGGGTTTACATGCAACTAATTAGAGATTAAGGAGCAATCTGAGCATGACTTTGCTGTTTAAATAATGACAATTAAAAACTTCTGAGAGCTACCAAGTCATTACGGCCATGATCCCCAAAGTTTGTGCAATCAGATAATCAGAGGGCCCCTGCCCGTTTCCTGTTAAACAATCAAAGCAGGAAATATGGAGACCACTCTGAAGAACCACTAAATCAATTAGCTGTTCAATTTTTACCCACCCTTTCTCTAGATGCCGACTTCTGCCACCCTGGTGGAGAAAAGAAGATTCTATCTAACCTAATACCCCTTTCTAACATCTGGGACCATCTTAGGGCAACAGTGAGTGATATTAAAAAGGTAATGTTTTCCCAACTACCTTTCAAGCAATTACAAAGTAATGCCCCACGAGTAATGAACACCTTGCCAGAAAAAAACAAGAGGACTAGCAACCACTAACCAAACAGGCAGCTCTGTCGGTCCTGTGCTCCATAGTGCATCTTTGCATGAACAATGAAAGGAAAGAGGCCGCATGCATCATCTGTGCATCCACAGTAGCATGCTTTCTGCTCTGCTTTGTTAATTATGGAATCAGCTTTCAATAAATCTCGAACAACAGGCTGCATGTGCTCAGCAGGGCAATGGAAAGACCCCTCTTCCTCTACACAGAGCTCAGCAAGAAAGGCACTCTGGTTATATCTTTAAAATGTGATCTCTTATGGGACAAAAGAAAAAAGCTTCTAAATGGAGGCAGGAAAGAGAATTTTTAAAAGGTAAATTTAGCAAGCGTTGAGTGCCTCATAAATGAAGTGCATAGAAATCTTTACGTAGGCATGTTGACTGTTGGCAAAAGAGGAGAGAGTGATCTCTCCGCTCCCACTACAAAAAGCGAAACTGGAAGCACAATGGAAAACCTACCATCGAATTTCTCTGGGACAACACAGGTGTCATCATAAAACTGCCTGGGGCCCTTTTCAAACATACAGCCTGTGGGAGAAAATGAGATCATTTAATCATGATAGAAATGAAGCTCACAAACAATTTAAAATAGAACCATGAACACAAAAATTGAGGTAGAAAATAACTGCTGTTTTTCAGCTGTGACCTTGGGCATAGTATTTAACTTCTGTGCCTCAGTTTCCTCATCTATAAAATGGGACTACTAATAAATCATCTACTTTATAGGTATGTCATGAGGACCAAATAATTTAATATATACAAGTTTAGAATAGCGCCTAACACACAGTGATATATGAGACTTAGCTATTGGTGTTATTACTAACACAAGCATAGAGCTCACATAAACGCTGGAAAACCTAGGAATTATAACATATCATCTCCTTTCCCAATTTCTTCCAAGTTTTATTAATGAGACAAGAGGGAAAGCAAATGGAATTACTGATATCTGCCTTGTATTACTGCCCTGGTTTAACCCCTTACTTTCTTGGAGAAATATCTAGGCCAGCCTTCTCAAGTTTTCACCTTCAACAGGCAAGGTAGTTAAAAAAATTTTATTTAAGTTTCCTTTTTTGCTGTAAGTCCACTGGAAAAAAAGTGCAAAATAAATCGACAGCTTTTCAGAATCATCTTCTCCTCGAAATATCCTTGACTGTGGACCTTTATATAATTGTTATCTTTAATGACTAGGAAGAAATTTCATACACTCACGGTTTTATTTCTCAAATATGTTGGTCTCTATTGTGGAGACACAATATTAACAATAGTAACAATAATTGCACTGCATTTGTGCAGACTTTTGGTCTCAAGTATTTTGGATTTACCAGCTCATTATACTATCCTTTAAACACAGGGATTTACTCTATTAATGTCATTTATACAAAACAACCAGTATTGGACCAAACCTAGAAGGATGGAGCTATGTCATTTCACTGAAAATAAATACACAGTTTACATCAAGAACCATGCACTTATTTCCAGAAATACTTTAATGTGGATGATATCCAGATAAAATCATTTTTATTCTTTCCTTTGCCGATATCAAAGCCCATTAGATCAAAGCTTTCCCACCATGGTTACCATAAACATATCCACAATAAAAACTCCCTCTTTAAGTCCTCTCATGTGAATTTCAACTCTTAATATCTTGTCCAAAAATGTAAAATCATGGATATTTAAAAGCAAATATATTTAAATCTACTGTACTGTATTTTTAAAACATTGACTTGGAACTGTCAAGCAAAACTGAAAATTCCTCGAAGATACATTTCAGTAGAGAGCAGTAAGGTAGGGTAATCTATAAAGCACATGTTCTTTTTTAAAAGGATGTGGTTATTGGCAAAAAAGAACACAGAAATCCACGTTTCAGCTGTTTATATGCACATGACTCACTTTAACAACCAAACGCATGATATCATGACCTGAAAAATCTCCCTTTTCCTTTAAAAAGTTAAACTTTAAAAATAATGGGTTAGGAAACATAAGTAATTTTTCCCATAAGACATAATGATTAATTAAGTGACCGCATCCTTGGGATGTCTGCTGATTTTAACAATAATGGAAAACTTAACTTCTGTTCTGCTGGGATGAGCCAGGAAGCCTTCTTGCCTCATGTAGATGGAGTGGCAGCTAGGCACTTCTGCAGGAGGAAACAACACTGGTCAAGGGAAGTCAGGAGCTGGGAAACGGTGCTACCGATGAGCACAGGGCACATAAGAAAGTAACAGAAATGGACACCCGTCTCCAAGAGGGGACCTTGTCAGCACGTGTACATTTTAGGCAGGGCCACACAAGAAATGAAAGAAAGATGGTGAACCGATTCTCCTGAGCCCACATGGGAATTCAGAGTTTTATCCACATTAATCTTGCTAAAGGCTGGCTCGACCTGCAATTCCCCACACCAATGTGGTGGTGTCCTTGAAACAGTGTCATGAGTTAAAAATATGTTTCAGGACATTTATGGAANACATTAATCTTGCTAAAGGCTGGCTCGACCTGCAATTCCCCACACCAATGCGGTGGTGTCCTTGAAACAGTGTCATGAGTTAAAAATATGTTTCAGGCCATTTATGGAATACATGTTTATATCCCACGGCACTCAAAGCAAAACTCAACAAAAACTAATTCATAGCTTATTTCATGAACACTTGGATAGAGATTACTATGGAAAGATGAAATTGCNGAAAGACGAAATTGCTAAACCTCTTAACGTTACTCCAGCCCTTTAAGGTGATTACTTAGTTTTTTCTCCCCGGATAAAAGCATGACTGGCTTGTCATTTTCTGAAGCACNTCTTAACGTTACTCCAGCCCTTTAAGGTGATTACTTAGTTTTTTCTCCCCCCCGGATAAAAGCATGACTGGCTTGTCATTTTCTGAAGCATGCAGATCATATTCAAAACCAATGAGGCTATAAAACTGAAATCCAAAATTTCATAGCAAACACCATTATTACCCAAAGAGTGAGGCCTTCCTTATGTGATCATGTTAACTCATCGCTGAGAAAATAAACTTGGTTAATGGTTAAACTTGAGTCATACTGATAGTTATGCATTTAATATGTTTAGTAGCTGAGACATGGAGAAAAGGAAAGGAATATGAATTATGAGACAGATTAAAATTCAAGTCCTTCATTTACTACTAATTAAGCTACGTACTTTAGGCACACCATTTGTGCTTATATTTCCATAAAATAAAGAGTTGGGTCAGGTATTATCTAAATTCTGTCCCCAGTTCTTTGATTCTGAATATGGAAGTTCACTTAAATAATCACAGGGGGATTCTGGTGAAACCGAAGAAGTTTAAACTTCAGGACCCTGTACTTTCCAGGGTCTCTTCTAAGCCTGAACCTAACGTTTTATAAGCAGTTTCCTTCTCTTTTACTTTAAGAAGATTCCCCAAATTCTGTAAGTTTCGGTTTCCACAAACCTGGCCCAACACTGCATATAACATACATAGTTTTAATAGGCAGGTATCAATACATGGGATCAAGTTAATTCTATCTTCTGTAGGCAATACTAATGTTTGTTAAAACAACATATACAAAAATAAATCGAGAAAATCTACAAAAGTGTGCAACTTAATATAAGCATATGTCCTCTTTTCTACCACCTGTAGTAAGCAAACAACCTAACAAGTAATAAAGAACATTTAAATGGATTGGAATCTAAAGACTCTTATCTCCTTTTAACTATCCATCTGTACACTTTCAAGTTGTAGATAATTAGCACTACTTGGCCCAAATGTGATCTTTCATCGGTCTTGAATGTTCCATTTTTAAAGTCTATCTGATTTATTTTTAAATTTGTGCGGTGATGAACGTCAACCAAAACACGAGGGGTTTGTGTGTTTTTTCCACAGAAAAAAGTTTGTTGCATGTGGTTTTAATCAAAAATGTTTTAACGACAACCCATAATAGCAATAACATTTAAAAGTACATGGGAATCAAGAGCCTACCAGTTGAAGAGAGTAAAAAACTCCTTATCAAACACTTTGTTACCCCACGCCTTCTTTATATAAAGTATTAGGCGGCACACAATCCTGACCCCTACCAAAGGCAGTCACCTGGTTTCCTATTATCAGATTTATAACAGGTGGCAGTGTAGTTCATCTTTTGGGTTACCAAATAGCAATACATTTTATCCCGACTTTTTAACCAATGGTACCTCAATGTAATTTTTAATGTTATTTTGATTTATTGCAGGCATAAAGTCCCTCCAAGCAGCTGGACCTGGAGGGGACAGTGTTAGAGACTCTGCCATCAGCTCAGCAGATGCTCGGAGGCAAGCATTTTGTTGTACCAATGTTGACACCCTGCCACAAAATACTTTTACTGACGCTGCCCAGCTGGAGTGTGGCTGCAAAAACAGCTGGCTGGCTCTGGAGGCAGCCAGAGGAAAACATATAGGCTAAACTCTATTACATATAAGCCTGTGACTAAATGCGGTCTTTCCTCCCCAGGGGGGAGGAGGAAAGAGAGAGAGAAAAAAAATGCAGGCATTTCTAAGAAAACCACTACTCAGAGTTGAAAGAATATCTTATAAAAGTGCTCTAAAATAATATAAAGTAAGCATAATCCTGGAAAACTAGACATTTAACATCAGAGATAAGATTTGATGGGTAATTTTACTAACACTCATGTGTGTATTGAACTGGCTGCTTTCTTGATTCTGGTGTACTTACTCTGTAATAGTTATTAGTCTATGATGTTTAAAGTATACTGATTTTAAATATAAATTAATGACTTATGATATGCCTAAAGCCAGGCCCTCCATTAAATTTCTGAAGGCCCAATTTGTGTTCTAATTTATAAAAAACAAAAAGCACTGTGTGGCAATTTAGAAAAAAAGTCATAAGAGAATATAACTGTGTTTTTGCCAGTTCTTCATACTACTTATTATACCCTAGAGTGAATAAAATTAACATCCTGCTCTTAAAATCAAGACGCTCGGCTACCATTGTTTAAATCCAGTCTATCTTTAAAATCGGTGTCTTTTATATGGTCCAGGGAAGCCTGAAAAAATATGGTTAAGAGGAGTTTTTCCCCCCTAAAGTAACTAAAGTCATGTTATCCTAAAGTGATATCAGTTAATTTATGACTGTCAGAGTAGGTCAGACTCTAATCAAATTGTAGAAACATTTCCAAAGTGATTATTCAATCAAATGACTAACATGGTTAATTAGGAGCCATAAACATTGCTCTGAAGTTCATCAAAGTAATGACTTGCCCAGAAAAATTACTGCTAATTAAATTGCCTGCTGCTTTCATTTCTACCTTATCTAATAAAAAATCCAGCCAATGAAGTTTGGCATTACATTTTAACTTCTGCTAAATGCTCATCTAAGATCCCAACTAGCTCAGCGGCGACTTCAAAGGCAACTGTTTCGTGGCAGGGAGGGGAGGCATTGCACATGCATTCGCTTGTATTTTTCTATGGAATGAAACTCCTGAAATTCAACAACAACGAGCTGTAGTTTAACCTGTGCACAACTGTTAAGATGACAGCATTTTTACATTGTTCTTGTCCATAGATTATACGCTTAGGATCATTATTACAGCCCAGTGACTCCAGACGTGTATCTTGCCATCTAAGACATGGTTTTCAATCTCGCCTCTGACATTTCAGGGTAGTATGACATTTGGTTAGTTATTTAGCATCTCTAACTCTCAACCTCCACATCTGTAAAATGGGGATAATTGTGGTATCTTTCAAAGGGTTGTTGGGAGGATCATATGGCATAATTTTGGGCAACATTTCATCCAGTATCTGCAAACAGTGAGGATTCAACATATGGTACTTATTACTAATAAAAGAATCTATTTTTAAGTGAACCTCACAGGGGTTTGAACTGAATGAACCACAGTACTTGAAACTAGAAATCATTATGTATCAAAATTATTTTTATATCTTGATTTGCTGTGCTAAAATTAAATCACCTATCTATTGAGATAGTTGATTTATTGCTTATTAGGGTACTTATTCTGTAATATTCTTCACAAATCTAGTAACCAATGATATTTAAAATATATTTATTTTAAATTCATTATAACTTTACTATTTATAAGATTTAGATGAGAATCTCCATTACATCTAAAAAATTTGGAGACACCTCTTTTTTTAAGTTTATTTTTATTGTTGAAAGTATTACAGATGTCCCCTTTTCCCCCCCACTGATGCCCTCCACCTGGCACCCATCTCTGCCCTCTCAGGACTTCTCCACATTGTTGTCTGTGTCCATAGGTCAAGCATATATACATATTAGTTTTTCGCTTCCCCCTCCCACTCCTCACCCCCACCCTTCCTCTGATGGCGGTACCTCTTTTAAGCTTCTTTTTACAGTAATACTTCTTGATATTGGTACTAAATAACTCTGGTTTAAAAGTTTTCAATTCAATCTGTAAATTGAATTATGCAAATTTAATTTAAGACAAAGGATTTTTTATTATTTTGAAACTTATGGGTCAAATTGCTCTACAACATGACATTAGCACTGGGCCAAATCAGCTTGCAGAAACTAACTGCCTGTAATTTGTCACAGATGAGTTCCTGGTGATGAAAGCTGATCTAATATGCTGCAAAAATTTAAAGCAGAAAAACTGTAGTCACTTGAATACACTAGTCAGTGTAGAGGAAGTTAAGAAGAAAAGTAAACTAACACTCCCAACGACCCGATTTGACTAGTCCTCATCTGTAGTAACACTGTTAAAATTCTCTTTAAATTAAGATATGCAGGTCTGAAACGAAGCTGGTTTCTCTGTCTCTTGACTTGCATTGTAAAGCTGAACTGGGAAACACAATACTGATTTGGGAAGCTGTCCCAAGCGTTTGACCACAAAGTGTAGCTTTGAATTTGCACATGTAATACTGTTAGGCAGTGCTCTCATATGCTAACTTGCTGTCCAGTAATACAGAATGAAGGTTTCCTCTCAGGGCATGGCTTGCCTAAAGTTTCTAGGAGCAAATCAGGCCAGATTAGAGAGAAAATATTTGTCACAACCATCTGTTGAAATTGCTTGTTATCAAAAAGTACACCAATCTGGCTATATTTCAGATTGTAAACTCTGAACAAGGGGGGAAAACACCTCCATTTCATTTGATGCTTCTGTTTACATTCCTGTAGCAATAACCAGTGTGATAAC